CAGGGGAATCAGAATGTGTCCAGGATAATAGAAGAGAAGCATGAAATCGTTCCCCATATTTTGCAGTTTACTTTCAACTAGTAAACACCTTTTTCACACTTACAGCAATAGCAACCTAAACAGCGAGCAAGTCTGCTGCTCGCAAGGCCTGTCTTTGATCACCAGTCACGTATTTGTGCTTCTCTCCATTACGCAGGGATCTGTATCTAGAATTTCATCTAGAATTTCACTAGGCAGGAGGTTTTTGTGGATCCTGGCTCCACAACTACCCATCTGTTAATCATAGTCTATTTTAACTTTCGTAATAGTGTTCAGGTTTGGTTTTTCACTGCTACTCCTTCCATGAACAGAAGTTAAATGCTTTTTAAGAGCAGATTTGTGCTTAAAGTCCATGTCGCAACAATGACACTTGTAGGGCCTATCGCCGCTGTGTATATTCAGGTGATCCTGGAGAGTGCTTTTGGCAGTGAAGGTCTTCAAGCACACCATGCACTGGAAGGGGCGGATGCCCATGTGCCCCCGGATATGTCTGTTGAGGTTCTTTTTTTGCGTAAATGTTTTGCCACACTGCAAACACAAGAAGAGTTTGTGCATTTTCAGATGTCTGAGATAGTTCTCAAGATGCAGAAATCCCCTCGGACACTTCGGACACTGATGCCGCCATGAATTACCAGAATCGTCCAGGCTCTGGAACCCATTCATCAGATTAGAAGTTCCTTCTGGATTGTCACTGACGAAAGCCTGAAAGTGATTTCCTGACATTTCTGTATTTCTGCTTTCAACTGTTGAATTTATCAAGGAGTGCTGGGTTTCTGGAAAATACAAGTTTGTTTTAGAAGATGTGCAAGGCTGAGGAAAATGATCATTTTCTACATTCGCTACGCTCATAGAATCCATTCTGAAGATACAGATTTCATCGTCCTTATATCCGATTTCGACTGTTGATATTTCTGGGGTTTTTGTGTCCTTTCTTTCTGAGATCAAACTCTGCACTGCGGGCCGGGAGACGTCCCCCTTCTCCTGTTTCACAGGGTACTCTACATTCACCGGGCTGTCTTCAGAGATCTCAATTATTTCACAATCTTTATCTAAACCGTCATCTCCGTTTCTCAGTTCAGCATCAGAGGAATGACACCTCTCTGCCGCCTGATCACTGTTCTCCATGGAAGCGTCAATTTCCAAGTATTTTGACAAAGCTTCGGTACACTTCTCCACGATGTGAACCATCTGGAGATAACTCGCGGCGGTGAGGTATTTCAGCAGCTCCTTCTTTTTGACTTCCAGAGCGCCGGTATAACAGGACAGCAGCAGCTTTCTGCCCACCTCGGCGCTCTGCAGGATGGTGATCCGCACCTGCCGGGACTGGTTGAGCAGGAACTGGTCCCTCATGAAGGTGGAGCAGGCGGCGAAGATCACCTTGTGCCCCTGGAACTCGGTGTCGTTGATGTAAATGGAGACGTCGCAGAACAGGTTCTGCTGCCGCAGGAGGTTCATCTTCTGCAGCACGGCATCGCCCTGCTGCTCGAACTGGAAGTGCAGCACCTCCGAGTCCGCCGCCATGGCGCCGCTCCCGCGGGG